TCTCATTTTGGGGGCTTTCTGAATTGAGTTTGCATGCTCTCCCCATGCACGAGTGGGTTTTCTCCAGGTTTCTGGGTTATACATGAATGTTAAACCTCAAATTGTTAATTTTTCACTACATCTTTGCAAAAATAAGTCTGTCAGTATAAAATTTTATTTCTTGTTCAGCTTTTGGTTAATTCTAGCCAGCCCCCTTGTTCTACGCTTTGCTTCGTACAGAGGGTCTGGACTCTCAATTGAGAAATGATTTCTTGCTGGAGGTGTGGACTCTGTTGAAGTTTACAATGATTGAATCTGATTTTACCCAATCACTAACATTTGGCCATGACGTATGTAGTGTGCCAGCTCGACTGTGAAGGAAGCTAAGCTAAGAAGCTAACCGGAAATTGCGTGTGCTGTAAACAACAATCCCTTGCTGGGATAGAAGTACCGAGCAGAACGAGATGGCTGCAAATGAGAGCTGCAGGCTCCGTGAGACAAATTTTGTTTAATTTGGAATCCTTGTCATGACTGAATGACTTCATTCACTTCCTCTGTTGCCATTGCTAAACTACAGACAGACTAAAACAGTGCAGAAAATCAACATCATTGTTCACAACTCCTTCTCCTGTTCTCTGATTGGCCTGGTTAAACTTCTACCGGAGAAATCCAAGTCAATGGGAGAAATCCCAGACGAAGCAGAGGAGGGAGATTAGAATCAAGCAGAATTACGTAGGAAGGCAATGACCAAAAATTTAATTTGTACTTTGGACTATCAGGTCAACATTAATTTTCTGTCAAACTGCATACTGCTCTTGCTCAATGATGATGAATCAAAACTAAAAAAAACCCATTAAATCGCTCTATTAGCTGCGTATTTCTGTGGACATTAGAGTGTTGTCTCTTCTCTCTGCGCTCTTTAAAGAGTAACTTACCCCAAAATTAACTTTTTTTGGCTGATAAACTGTCTAGAATGTGTCTAAAATGTTATATAATTTTGATGTTTTTGTGCGTTTTTGTCCAAATCTGTAACATTTGGTCTAAAAATGTCTTTTTGCTGCTCATATGGGTGGAGCAGTGGTACTGCAGGCTTATTTGCATATTGGTTAACGGCTCTCCGCTGTGACGTGCTTCTGCACAGTTTCATCACAGCGGCTGTGTTCTGGTATAAAAGCCTGCTGGGTCATCAGCAAACCTAATGAGTTGGTTTGTGCTGAATTTAGCGGAACAATCATGTGTCAGCAAAGTAAAAAAGCACTGAACACACATTGATTGTTAGAATGCCAACATGCACTGTCTTTAGTTTTCTAGTTACAGAGGAAGGTTTACACACTACAGCAGCACGTAAACAAATAGTACTAAAAGCTTTACCATGGTTATGTACTTGAATTATTTTCAAATATGCTGCAACTTTCTGCTTCTTATAAACAATACAACAGCAGAAAAGTGTTTTGACCAGCATGTGTCTTAACTAGGATTAACATTTAATTATTACATTGATTTAGACAAGAAGTCTGATTCCAGGACATGTTTTTTTTTCTCAAACACTCCCATAAGCCAACACATACCACAACTCAGCTGAAATGAAGCTTGGCTGTTTCACTGACAGGATGGCAGCAGAAGCCTGACCACAGAGGAAAGCATAGCGTGCAATACACTCGGACCTTTTGTCTGCAGGATCCTGTGTGCTGTGGTTTTCCCGGGGGTGAGATGGATGCCATGTAAGACGATAACATTTTAAAGAGCTCTGGAGCGGCGCCAGTGTCAGGAGGGCACCTCTCAGCTGCGCCGTGATAACCAACCTTCACTCACGCTGAATGGCATGTTTGGCAGCAGCGCATTCTCACGAGCCCCAGCGGAAGAGCCAAATTGCTCTTGTTTCCAGCATGTCTGCTGTTATTACAGCTAATGACTGAAATATGGCTTCAGGGTTTGATGTGTTACTGTTGAGGCCACAGCAAAGCAAGGCCATGGAATATGCTCTGCCAGCCTTGACATAGCAGCAGTCCAGATGCTGGGAGCTCTTGTTAGTGCAGCTAACAGGATGCTTTTTACTCTTCTGAGATTATTATTATTATTATTATTATTATTATTATTATTATTATTATTATTATTATTATTATTATTATTATTATTATTATTATTATTGTTTGTGTATGTGTTACCTTGTCTCATGCGCAACAAATCCAGAGCTTAAAATGACAAATCCAAATGTTTGCTGGACATGCCTCTTGTGTACCTTCAGGGTCAGGGTCAGGATACACTGTTTTTTTTTTTTTTTTKTCAGGAAGAGGAAAAAGCTATAAAGTGCACCTGCAATGTTAAGATGACTTTCCATTGCTTATAAATTGAAATTAATGTTGTGAAATTTGCTGTCATTCTTTGTCTATAAAAAAGTACATATTGTATGCACATACAAACAGCCAGGTCCATAAATAATGAGAATTGCACACAGTTGTCTTTTTTTTTTTGTCTATAAACGCCACAATGCATTTGAAATGAAACAAACAAAATGTGCTTAAACTGTAGAATTTCAAGTTTGATTTCAAGATATTTACATTAAAATCAGGTGAACATGTACAAAATTAAAAAAAAAAGTTTGTATTTGTACCTTCCACTTTCAAACGGCGGAAAATAATGGGACAAAATAACAACCATGTCAAACTTTCACTTTTAAATATTTGGTTGTAAATTCCTTGCAGTTATTTCCAGCCTGGACACAAAAAACATCAGCAGACGTTGGAGTTCATCCCTGGTGATGCTCGGTCAGGCCTCGACTGCAACTGTCTTCACTTCCTGCAGGTTCTGGAAGGATTTTCCCTTCAGTTTTGTCTTCAACAAGTCAAATGCTCAATCAGATTCAGGTCAGGTGACTGACTCAGCCACTGTACAATATTCCACCTCTTTGCCTTAAAATTCGTTGGTTGCTTTCGCAGGATGCTGAGGATCATTGTCCATCTGTGAAGCTCTGTCCAATGAGCTCTGTAGCATTTGACTGAATATGAACAGAAATATTGAACCAAACGTGTTAGAATTCATCCTGCTGATTTTGTCAGCATCACACACAAATCAGCAATTAAGAGAAAACTTCACCAGTTTGAATACAAAAGGGTTCATTACACGATGTAAAGCACCGAGCCTCAAAAACAGGAAGGCCAGATAACAGTTCATCAAACAACATCTAAAAAAGTCTTTACAGTTCTGGAACAACATCCTGTGAAATATCAACCTGTACCAGAGTGATGGGGACAGAAGAGTGTGGAGAAAGAAGGAACTGCTGCTCATCATCTAAAACATCATCAGTGAAGCACGGTGCTGGTGGTGCCATGGTGTGGGAATGTATGGAACTGGTTCTCTTGAATTTGAGTTTTGTTGTTTTGCAATAAAATTTGTCAATTTTGGTTTTGAAATCAGTTTAAAAAAGCTCATGTAACAAAATATACCTTTTGTGCTGACACAAGTAAACCCTGTAGCTCCTCCCTGACTTCAGAAGGGTGTGTTCTGTGTCAGATATGACAGCTGTCTGGTAAAATGTTGCACCTTTAAAATGACTGCTAGTTCAATGAGCTCCAAGAGGAGTACCGATAGTCTTGTCTGTTGCTCACAAATAAATGGGAAACATATGGTTTCACAATGGAAATCACAGATTTAAAAGGACAAATGTTTGAAATGTAAATTATTGGAATTACACAAATATTTGTTGCATTTATTATTTAAAGCATAAGAATAAATGTGAGGATTTTGGTGTTTTATTTTATTTTATGTATTTATTTATTTTTGCAGAAGCTCAAGTTAGTAGCTATCTTCACTGACAGTGATGATTGTGTCTGCTGAACAAAAA